GTCCGCGCGGTGTTGGGTGGAGCCCGGCCCTGCGCTCGGCTCCTCTCAGGCGAGCGCTGCCTGGGGCGTCGAACGGCGCCGGTCAGAGCTGCCGCTTTGGAGGGTGGTGCAGGTACCTTACGCTGCCGCTTGTGTCCTGCATTTGGTTGCATTTAAAAGCCCTGTTGTGCTGTAAGCTTGTTTGTATGGTAATAGTGCATGATAAAACACAGATTTTGATAGCTGAAGCATTGCAAGCAAAAACAAATGGGTGACTGTTCTTGCTTTGAAAGTTGGTGGTAGATTATCTGTGTAGTGTTCTTCTGACTGGTGTGTTTTTTCAGCTGCAGTGAAGAAACAATGGTCTTACCATGGTTCTAGGAAGGCAGATTAAGTTTTATAGTTTTGGTTTTTGAAATCTTAACATTGTAATTAAACTGGGGATGAGGAACTCTTCCAGGATGTGTTTGTTGGGCAGGAGGAGGATTTGAGAAGTACTACAAGAATTTAGTTTACGTTTATTTTTCTAACAATTTTTCTATCATGTTCCGTTGTACAGAGATGCAGAGTTGTCAATAAGAAGGCAGAGGTTTATAAAGGTCTGTTCTGCATGAATTAAGTCCGAACTAGTATATAGGTGAGTAAAAACCAGAAGGTTGTTTTGTAAACTGTAGAAATGTGACTGTATCAGCGTGATGCTGTTATTTGGGCTGTGACAATGGGCAATCAAATGTTGATGCACAAATTTTTTTCATTTGTTATGTGTTTCTGCGACCAGGGGTTTGTTTCAATGGAAAAAAAAACAAAGAGGTGCCCAAAGCATCAGTGGTGCACCTTCAAAAGTTTGATTCTCTTTAACAATCAGGTTTTTCTTCCAGGCAGGCAGAACCCTTTCCTGAAGTCTGTTTTCTTTCACTAAAACCCCCTAGAATTTAGCTTTCTATTTTATTACCTGGAGAAGTGAAAAACAGGGGGGCTTGTTTAAGAAGTTATTTGTCAAATCTGGATTTGGTACTGCTTTTATTGGGAGGTTTTTTTTGGTGGCTGGTGGTTTTGGGATTCATTGGTGGGGGTTTTTTTGTTTGGTAGTTTTGGGGTTTTTTTGAGAATTCATGTATCCTTCCTTCTCCTGCCCGAGATGTTCTGGTAAGCTTTACAGTAGGAGGGCTCACTTATTTATTAATTTTTTTTTTCGGTGGAACTAGAATGATAGGGATTAATATTTACTCTGAAGACAGATTGTGTGATCGCTAGCTACTTTATGTATACTTGTGATAAAAAATATCATGGCAGTTCTGTTGAAGATTTTTTGCAGGCTGAGGAAACTCTTGTTCAGTTGTAGCTGAAAGTGAAACTTTCATTTTTTTGTTCATTATGTAAATTCATCAATTTACATAAAAATTCATAAATCAAGCATATGCTTTGTCCAGCCTGTCTTTGTGTGTTTATCCACTGTCTTTGCATTTGATAGATGTTGTCTGCCCCTGATTACTTTGTTAGAACACCCGTTTATTTCATAGAATTGCTTGATTAAATTATGGTCATGTACAACCTTTTTAAACAATGTGAAATCACAGATCCATTGACAGATCTGAAGGTAACTGGAAGTTGATCTTGAAGACCAGGTTGTAGCTGAAGGTCAGAGAAGTATCTGAAGGGTTTGAAGATAGTTAAACTGTCAGAATTGGAGTGTTGAGACAGTACAAAACACACCTGGCACAATTGTTAGTTGATTGGCAGTGCAGAAATGTTGGACGTAGATAATGTGTTCTGTATGTCCTTGCAATTATGAAAAACTTAAAATATGCTACAGCTATACCTGATAGTGTACAGATAGCCAGATTAAGTAAACAGTAAAGCACAGAGCTATGAGGTGTCATTGCTTTGAAGTGATTTACACAGAAGAAGCAGGGTGAGAATCCTTGGTCATTGACATATTAAAAAGAAAGAGGCTGGAAATACTTTTGCAGGTAAACTCTCCTTGTAACTGTAAGTCCAGTGCAATGAAACACTGAATTGGGTCTCCTTTGGAGAGATTTGCAGTTAAATTCACTGAATGTAAATAACATTTATGAGATGAGCAGAGATTGTATAAATTACATGAAGTGCTTTCCACTCTTGTTTTCTTTTAGCAGAAATACTTTTATTTGAGAAGGAATACAGTTATCTTCCTGGTCATCTGTCCTGTCCTGTTCTGCGTCCCTGCATGTTGACGTCATGTTGTTATGCCCCCCCCCCCCCCCCCCTCCCCAAGTTTTCTGATACAATCTCTAATTCTCTGTGTTATTCTGAGGACAGCTTTCTGATGACGAATTATTCTCAAGTGGTAAAATTAGTCTAGCCACAAGAGCAAGTCCAGAGGTACTTCTTTTCAGATGTTATCTGAACATGTCTTTACAAAGAGAATTGTGTCAAGTGTATCCCAGTTGCATAAAACATGATGTTGTTAAATGTTTAGTACACATTTTAACCAGAAGTGTGATAATATGCTATTAAAGCATTTTGGAAACAAATTTCCTGTGAGGAATTAGTTGACAAAGAAAACGTATGGAAAATTATCAGGCTGATCTTACTCCTTTTCTTTGCAGACAGAATGGAATATCTGACTCCCTCACCAAACATAGTAGATATGAATCTGAAGATAACTCATATCGAATGCCATCCTGAGTGCTTGGTTATAGTGTTCAAGGCTCGATACAAGGCAGGATGTGAGCTTGACTATTACATACTACAAAATGAAATACAACGTGTATTCAAAGTAAAAGATAATGTTTACATTGGTGGATCTTGCTTGGTGGAAGACATGGAAGGAAAATGGCATAGAGGAAGAGTTCTGGAAAAGAGAGAGAATATCTGTGAGGCTTTTCTTATAGACACTGGGCAAGTGCTAGTGGTTGAGGAAACTCATCTTGCTTCTGCTTGTGATGAATTGTTTCAACTGCCTCCAAAGGTGGTTTTGGGTGTTTTTGCAAGCATACTTCCTCTTGGAGAAAAATGGGGTCCAAAAGCCATTAACTATTTTTCATCTCTGGTAGGATTACAGATTGCAGGTCATGTGAAAGCTGTTACACCATACCAACTGTTTATTCTAGAAGTACCAAAGATCATTAGCGATGTTCTTGAACTGCAGTTAGGAAAATTTATTGATGGAGATTCATTTTGTCTTATTGTAGAAACGTTAAGAGTGTTTCCCCAAGAAATGCTTTGTAAGAGAGTGCCACAATTGTTGCAACAGAAGTATCCAGTCAAGGAATTGCTTACTTTCAGTAATTCTGAGAAACCAACAGATTTTTGGCCAGTTCCAGATGATCTCTTTCCACGTCTACCTGTTGGCAGTAAAGAAAATGTAAAAGTAACTGTTGCAGTAAGCCCAAATAAATTTTACTGTCAGGTACAGAAATGGCAGAAAGAACTGGAAGATTTGACAGGAGCTATGCATTTGTACTATGAAGCTATCAGTACAGAAAATAATACATCTTTTGATAGTTTCGGGCTACTCTGTGCTGCTAAAAGGCAAAACGGACAGTGGCATAGAGGAGTGATAAAACAGCTTCTCTCTGACCATGTGGAAATCTGGTTTATGGATTTTGGCAATATTGAAGCTGTGCCATCTAGTTGCGTTCAGAAGCTTAAAGTAGAGTTCATGGCATTACCAATGACTTCATTTCCATGTGCGCTGTCTTGTTTTGGTAGACAGGATGAAACAGTAATAAAAATTCAGCTGGAAGAACTTATACAGGCCTTGATAGGACAAACTTCTGTGTGTGTCCATGTTGATCTGTTCGATGATGTTAAACGCTTGTATTACATTACACTGCAAAATCAAAATCTTAGAATTAATGCTAAGCATCCAGAAAACCTGAATGAGGCAGCTGCATCATGTGTCTCACTTCTGGAAACAAACATCAGGAGTATTGCAGTAAACTGCAAACCATGTGATGAGAGATACAGTTCATTTAACAATTGTACTGGAAGGAAACATACAAAAAACTGCTTACCTGAATGGGATATTTCTTTGTCAAGCCACTGCAAAAGAGTAGAAATGCAAATGAATTCTTTCCATACTGCTTATGTGGTATATGTTATAAATCCATCTAACTTCTGGGTTCAGACATGTGAATATCAGAATGAATTTCAAGCCTTGATGAAAAATATTGCAGATGCATATAACCGATGTGGAGCTGATGAAATGGTCCTTAAAAACCCAGAACCTGGATTTCTGTGCTGTGCCCGGTATAGCAAAGACATGCATTATTATCGGGGTGTTGTCATTGAAGTGCTTCATGTAAATATTACTGTTTATTTTTTGGACTTTGGAAATACAGATACAGTACCCTGTTATGATGTGAAAATGTTGCTTCCTGCGTTTTCTGATTTACCAGCTTTAGCTATGTGTTGTGCACTTGCTTGTACGTTTCCTGTTGATGATGTGTGGGTTAAAAAGGAAACTGATTTCTTCAAAGAGGTTGTGCTTAACAAAGTACTCCGGCTTCATGTCATTGGAAAGCAAAACAACAAGTATATTGTTAATGCACGGTATAAGAGTGGTTTGCAGCAAGATGTTGCCACATGTATGGTTCAAGCTGGATACGCTGAATACTGGGGTAAGACACCAGATTCTGTTCGAAATTTGGGAAAAAAAAGTCAAGCCCTGAATCCCCACAAATTAAAAAAAAAAAAAGTAAATGCACAGAGCATCTGTAATATTCATAAAAATAAGGTATCTGGAAATAGAGAGTTAGTTCAGAAGGAAAAGTCATTAAGGGTGCCTTCGGTACTAAGAGAATCTGTTGTGCTGTCCTGTTTTGGAAAAGGTGGTATCTCTAAAAGCTGTAAATCAGTACAGGAGAAAAAGTTATTTTATAAAGAGTTTGTGTTTAAACCAGGAGCTGTTTTTGAAGTGGTGTGTTCTTACATTGTTTCCCCCACAGATTTTTCATGTCAGTTGCAAAGTAAGCTGCCAGAGCTAAATAATTTAATGGAACAAATTCAGGCTTACTATAAAGACCATACCTGTCCTTACAAAACTGGACAGGTTGCCTGTGTTGTTAAACGTCCCAAAGATGGGAAGTGGTACAGAGCAACTGTTGTGCAGCAGGTGTCCACAAATGAAGTTGATGTGGTTTT